GGGATGTGGGCATCGCTGGCTAGGCAGCATTTATTGCCCATCCCTAATTGCTCAGAGGGCAGTTCAGAGTCAACCACATTGCTGTGGGTCTGGAGGCACATGCAGGCCAGACCAGGTAAGGATGGCAATTTCCTTCCCTAAAGGGCATTAGTAATATTAACGAATGTTGACTCGAAATGTTAACTCTGTCTGTCTCTTCAGGTGCTGCCAGACCTGCTGATGCTCTGGTTTTATTTCAGATTTCCAGCATCTGCAGTATTTCGCTTTTAATTTTGCTCTTGTCAGAATGTCCTTCTTATTCTGGATGACCACCTCACTGACTTGCAGTTAATTCCCGCGGTCTTACCCTCCATGGAACCAATCAGTTGGTGTTCATTTGGCCTTCGATCATCAGGAATTCAGGGTAGAGGCAACAATCAGAATTTTCACCCACAACCCCACCTCCCCAAGAACTTCGTAGTCAATCAAATGTCCCCAGTACGTACATTCATAAAGGGATAGAATTAATGGGCTGAATAGTCTTTTGCTCATCCTTTAACATAGAAACACAGAAGATAGGAGCAGGCATAGGCCATTCAATTCCTTGAGCCTGCACAACCATTCAGTATGATCATGGCTGATCATCCAACTCAATACCCTAATCCCACCCTCCTCCCCATGTCCTTTGATCCTTTTACAAGGGTTAGATCTACCTCCTTCTTGAAAATACATAGTGTTTTTGTTTCAATGCTTTCTGTGGCAATGAATTCCACAGGATCACCATTCTCCAGGGAAACAAATTTCTCCTTATTTCAGTCTTAAAGGTTTACCCCTTGTCGTTAAACTATGAGCCTGGATTCTGGATACCCCCATCATTAGGGACACCCCAACCTGTCTAGTTCTGTTAAAATGTTATAGGTTTCCTTGAGATTCCCCACATTCTTCTCAACTCCAGTGAATACGATCCTAACTGGTTCAATCTCACCTCATATTGTCAATCCTGCCATCCCAGGAATTAATTTGGTAAACTTTAATGGGTTAAGATGCCTGAAGTCACAGTGCCTCCAATATATTGAGACCACTTACTGAACAAACTCAGATTGTACAGTTCATAGAATCCCTACAGTGTGGAAACAGGCCCTTTGGCCCAACAAGTCCACACCAACCCTAGACATCCTACCCAGACTCATCCCCTTATAACCTACTTAATCTACACATCCCTGAGCACTATGGACTATTTAACATGGCCAATCCACCTAGCCTGCACATCTTTGGACTGTGGGAGGACACTGGAGCACCCAGAGGAAACCCACACAGACACAGGGAGAATGTGCAAACTCCACACAGACAGTTGCCCGAGGGTGGAATTGAACCCAAGTCCCTGGAGCTGTGAGGCAGCAGTGCTAACCACTGAGCCACCATGCCACCCAGCGTCCATCCTCCTTTCAGGACAAACAAAGCCCCTTGTACTCAATCCTGAATCCTGAGAGTCTGATACTTTACCTGATACAATGGTTTGACAATCCTTTCACATTGTGTTGGAAAATGGAGTTGAGGTAGAAGGTCAGCCATGATCTTGTTGAATGGTGGGGCAGGCTTGCGGGGCCGAATGGCTTCCTGCTGCTGCTTCAATTTCCTGTGTTTCTATAAACTGCATAAAGCTACCTGGGCATGAAAGGTGTCACCAGTTACATCAGAAAATTGCACCACCATGAGCAAATCCTAATGAAAACAAAACCTGCCACATCGTCTACAAATATCCTTTAGAGGATTGTGAACTGTACTCTTAATCTGCAAGCTCTTCCTTTGTACAAAATTGCATGAGCAGGAGTGTTCCTGACACATACAGATCTAGGCAAACGAATCTAATTATAGGTTAACGTCATCTGTAGGGATTTTAACACACCAGAGAAATATTCATTACAGATGCAAGGATTAACTCCTTTGATTGATTTTGCCATGATTTTAATAAGGACTGAATCTCATAACCACTTTTAATTTCTTGGCTGCTTTCACAGAATCACTGAGCACTGATGGAGGCCACTCAGCCTATCGTGCCTGCACTAGTTCTTTGAAGGAGCTATCCGATTAGTCCCTCTCTCCTAATATTTCCTCTGCAGATCTTATCTTTTTGAGCGTACATCAATTTACTATTGATAGTTATCGCCACACCTTCATCCCAGAACAGTGTAATTTGCAGTCTGTGTTTTATCGTCCTGCATGTTTCAGTCAAGGAGCTTGACACTATTCAGGACAAAGGAGCTCTCTCAATTGACACCCCCTTCAGTGTTCACTCCCTCCGTCACTGATGTCCAGTGGCAGCAGTGTGTATTAGCTACAAGATGGACTGCTGAAATTTAGTAGACTCCTCAGATAGCACCTTCCAAACCCACGACCACTTCCATCTAGAAGGACAAGGGCAGCGGATATATGGGAACACCACTCCCTGAGAGTTCCGCTCCAAGCCACTTACCATCCTGACATGGAAATATATTGCCGTCTCTTCACTGTCGCTGGGTCAAAATCCTGGAACCCCCACACTGTGGGTGTACCCATATCCCATAGATCACATCAGTCTAAGAAGGCAGCTCACCACCATCTTCTCCAGAGCACTCAGGATGGGCAATAAATGCAGGTCCAGCGCACGATCTCCAAACCAATGAACAGACAAAAAAAAATAAAAGTCACCACGTTCTTCTGCTAGTTAACTAAAGCCTACATCCTTTCTACAGTCTCTTCTGTCTGGTCGCAGGTTATCTGGCAAAGCGAACATCTAACTTCCTGAATAAAAGCAAAATACTGCGGATGCTGTAAATCTGAAACAAACACAGAGAAGGCTGGATAAACTCAGCAGGTCTGGCAGCATCTGTGGAGAGAGAAACGGAGTTAATATTTCGAGTCCAGTATGACTCTTCTTCAAGTTTTATTTAAATTCTTAAACTCACTGAGTCTGCCTTTTCTAGAAGCCTTCAAAACCTAGGCCTAAAATGCCAAGAATGTAACTTTTGGAACAAAACAAATGCTGCACAGAAATTGGCAGAAAGGTGTCCAATTTGTGTAAAAAAAAATTTCCAAGTTGTGACTTTATCCAAACGTGGGCAGAATAGACACTATGGATGTGGCCCATTAATTGCCATCTCTTTAAGGAGGTGCCAATCATTAGCTCTACCAAAGAGTCTTGGCTAATGCCCATTGAGAACGACAGATATTTCTAGAAGAGGAACAAGAGGAGGCCATTCAGCCCCTCAATTGTTAAGCCATTCCAGGAGATGGTGCCTGATCTAGACTGCCAACAACCTAACAAAACTCTATCGATCTCAGTCTTAAAAATTTCAAGACTCCTTGTATTTTGGAGGTGGGGTGGAGTTGGTTGGAGAGGATAGTATTTCAGTTACTACATTTTATTTTAAGTGAAATATTGCTTCCTGATTTCCTTCTCGACAGCCTATCCCCACTTTTAGGTTTGTGCTTTCGTCTAGACAAGATCAGAGTAACCAGTTTCTCAGTATCAAGCACATCGAATGCTTTTTGATTATTATAAATGGTTTTTGATGCAAGCAGTGTTTAATCCCCTCTGCTCCAGGAACATGCTTAATCAATACAATCTGCACTTACAATTTAATCATTTTATCTCTGGTCTTCTTCGAGTTGAAAAGCATTGTATCCTCTCCAAGGTCAGTATAACCTGCCTGAGGTAGAGTGCTCAGTACTGAATATAGTACTCATTCCAGATTGACATAAAACAATTGAAACATAGCTTCAGCCTTACAACAACAACCTGCATTCGTCTAGCACTTTCAATGCAGCGAAAAGCCCGAAGGCACCACACAGCAGTGTCATCAGGCATCTATATCCATCGAAGGACATTAGCATGGGTGACCAAGTGCTTGGTAGGTTTTAAATGAGTGCAGGCAATCAGGGTGCACAGATCAGATCTGCCGGTAGCCATAGTGACCGCAGAGTAATGTGCTGGATCAGCTGTACTCCCAAATGCGAAACAAGAGCCCCCTCCCAATTGGAGATTTGAAGCTGTCATGTGTCTGAATCACCAGCGTTTCGAGATTGACCATGAAACGCAAGAGTTATAGGGAGAGGCTGGATAGACTGGGATGTTTTTCACTGGAGCATAGGAAGTTGAGGGGTGACCTTATAGACGTTTATAAAATCATGGATGTTATAGATAAGTTGAATGCGAGTTGTCTTTTCCCTAGTTTGGGAGCTTTCAAGACTGAGGGGATGTATTTTTAAGGTGAGAGGAGAAAGATTGGATCAAGAGGTCTGTTTCCATGCTGTAAGACTCTCTGTCCAATCCAGCGATTATAGTCTGTCCCTAATTGCCCTTGGGAAGGTGATGAGCTGTCACCTTGAACCGCTGCAGTCCTAGGGCAATTCCAGTGGAGGTCTGACCCCACTCTTTGTCTCATTATTGCAGTACCTCCATAAATGACTCCACACACTCTCTCTGTCTGTTTGTCCCTCTCTCTCTCTCTCACTCTCTCTCTCCCCCATCTATCTCTCACTCTCTCTTGGTTTCAATCAAAGCCTTGGTAGAGAGAGCTCGATCTCTGTTCTTGCAGAGAAAGTAGATCCCAGGCACGAGGACTATTATTGAGCGAGTGTCAGTGCAGGCAAATGGTGCGTACATCTTCAAGGATGGCATGACAATCAAATAATTTTCTCAATCATATGAAAAGCACACCACTGCCTCCCATTGTGTGTGTAGCAAATGCTATTATGGCAGCAACCTGCAATTTTACACCCTTAATGCCAAAAAAAGGACCCAGGTTACTTCAGTGAGTTATTTGGTTGTGCTGATTAATATTCCCACCTTTCCACAAGGAACTGAGCAAAGGCTTTAACCATTGGTAGCGCTGTAGAGCTGGGATGTTGGAGCCCTGATTTAGCAAATTCTAGTGGGAAAATTCCAGGAACAGGCAGAATGAGACTTGCATTGTTCAGTTTGAATATGAGGAAATGCGTGCTCACTGTTTTACCTTCGCGTCAATGTGCTTACTCCTCAGAACTTCTGGCTCTTTCTCATCTCGAGAGGTCTGGTCGGGTTTGGTGAGGCCAGCTACTCCACAATCGCTCCCACCATCATCGCTGACATGTTTACCAAAGACACCAGAACCTGTATGCTGTCCTTCTTCTACTTTGCTATTCCACTGGGAAGGTATGGCACTGAGTTTCTGTGCTTTTAAAGTTTGTTCTCAAGTTGTGGCCATTTATTGCTCATTCCTCTGATGTGTTTATCCCTTCATGGGATGTGGGTGTCAGTTGTGAGGCCAGCATTTGTGAGCCATCCCTAATTGCCCTTGAACTGAGAAGTTTACTCAGCTTTTCAGGGGGCAGTTAACTGTTACTGTGGGTCTGATGTCACATGTACATCAGACCAGATAAGAACTGCAGATTTAACCTCAACAGTATTAAAGTCATAGAGTCATAGAGATGCACAGCACGGAAACAGACCCTTCGGTTCAACTTGTCCATGCTGACCAGATATCCTAAATTAATCTAATCCCATTTGCCAGCATTTGGCCCATATCCCTCTAAACCCTTCCTATTCATGTACCCATTCTGATGCCTTTTAAATGTTGTAATTGTACCAGCCTCCACCACTTCCTCTGGCAGCTCGTTCCATACACGCATCACCCTCTGTGTGAAAAAATTGCCCCTTATGTCCTTTTTAAAATTTTCCCCTCTCACCTTTAAACCCTCTAGTTCTGGACTCCCCCACACCAGGTAAAAGACATTCACCCCATTCATGTTCCTTATGATTTTATAAACCTGTATAAGGTCATCCCTCAGCCTCCCACGCTCCAGGGAAAATTGCCCCAGTCTATTCAGCCTCTTCCTATAGCTCAAACCCTCCAACCCTGGCAACATCCTTGTAAATCTTTTCTGCACTCTCTCAAGTTTCACAACATCATTCCTATGGCAGGGAGACCAGAATTACATGCAGTATTTCAAAAGTGCCCTAACCAATGTCCTGTACAGCTGCAACATGACCTCCCAACTCCTATACTCAATGCACTGACCAATAAAGGTAAGTATACTAAGTGCCTTCTTCACTACCCTGTTTACCTGCGACTCCACTTTCAAGGGTGTTAATGAACTAGATGGGTTATTACAACAAGTGACGATAGGTCACCACTTTCAATTTCAGATTTGATTCCATTTACATGCCACCAGCCGCTGTGGTGAGATTTGAACCCATGTCCCCAGAGCATTTGCCTGGGTTACTACAGCGACATTGTCACCATTTCCCCACAGATCCCTTCAGAAGGTTGTCACCTTCCAGAACTTGATCAATCCCATGTGTTTGGAGGAGATGCAACGGCAAGCCAACTGCCTGCAAGGTTAGAGAGTGGTTAAGAGTCAACCATGGTAGGTGGGACTCACGTGCCCAGCTCGATCATGACATGAATGTACCATTTGGGCTTTTGAGACAATTTACCAAACAGAAATTTTCTAACCCACATGATCATGGATGTTATGATGTACCTCTTGGGTAGGTGGGACTTCAACCTGGACCTCCAAGCTCAGAGGTAGGGGCATCACCACTGCACCACAAAAGCCCATTTTTACTAAATATTGGAGTTAAGAAACCCATTTGCCTGTCCCCTTCTAACTGCCGTAATTATCCCTCTTCTCCTAAATCAGGGACTAAAGTTGCACAGAACCTCCACCACATGAAGACATAGGCCTTATCAAACACTGAGCTGAGCCACCTACCCCTCCTCGTCTTTCCCAAATTCACAGCCCTCCCGATTACAAAGCGTGCGACCATCCTCATGTTCAATGGAACAGCATGATGTCAGGTTGGAGGGTGTATTGGGTGAGTGGGTGTGGATGACAATGTAGTCAGGTGCATAAATCACTGACCACTTCAGCTATTGGGCAGTGCCCGGGAGAAGAATCCGAGGAAACAGTTGCTTGCTCCAGGAGCGTCGGGAATGCTACCCCAGCCCAGTGTGTGAGTCTCCCAGCTCCCCTGTTCCTCAGAAGCGAAGTATTGCACTAATGATGCTTTAATAACGTTTGCTACCGCTTTCCTCACAGTGGACTCGGCTACGTTCTGGGATCCTGTGTGACACAGGCGTCTGGAGACTGGCACTGGGCACTGCGGGTGAGTGTTCACCCTCTTCCTATCATGTTCTCCTGTGTTTTTTTGGTCTGAGTGATTTATTGTGTTGAATGTAGGACATATTCTCGCTCTGCAGTGTGGCTGCTTGCAATGGCCTACATTTCTGGAATGTAGGTCAATGGGGAGTGGGGAGAATGCACTGCTGCAGAAATGCTTCCTGTTGTCTGTTCTCTGTAATAACAGGGGATCTCCTTCTAACATTTCGAGGACCTCCATCATGAGATCTGTTTTTGACTATGGCACAACATAGGGAATTCACTCTGTGTTGTGTGAATTTCCTGCAGTTTATCTAGGCTTATGAGAATGCATCTTGACTGTACCAGATATATCATCTTGTAAAGATAGCCTGACCAATGTTTATGCCTCAGCCAATATGATAGAAGCAGATTATCTGGTCATTTGTGGGAACTTGCATGTAAATTGACTGCTACATTGCAACAGAGACTACATTTCAATTTTTAAAATATCTGGATGTGGGCCTATATCATGTACCCACAATTGCCCCTTTATATTCTTGATCCCACTGCAGTTTATTGGACCACAGGGACTCTCCCAGTGCTGTTAGGAAAGGAGAGCCAGGATTTTGACCCACAAACAACAAAGTACAGGGGTTCCCCAATTTACAAACACGATCCTGTACAGGGGGTGTAATTTTAAAGATCTGACATACAAATGTATCCCTGTACTTACAAACAGCTCTTTTATGTTGCCCTGGATTGTGTACTTATGAGACTTGTCAATGGACTCAGTACAGAACCGGTTGCAACCCAGTAATGGTAGTTAATTGGCTGTGATACACTTTAGAATATTCTAAGGGTAGAGAGACACTGTAAGTTGCTGATCCTTTCCAATGCCTGGCTACCAGCCACTTGACTGAAACATGCAAGATGTTCTCAACAGGTTGGATGCGGAGATGATATTTCCCCTGGTGGGAGAATCGTGAACTACAGCTCGCCAGGGTTTCAAACTAAGGGATCACCCATTTAGAACAGACAAGAGGAGAAATGTTTTTCTCTGCAGATTGTATTTCCAAGGTGGCGGAAGCAGAGTCCTTAATATTTTTAAGGTGGATGTAGATGGATTTTGTCAAGCAAAGGGGTGAAAGGTTATCGGAGAATGGAGAAATGTGGATTTGAGCTCGCAGTCAGATCAGACGTGGTCCAATTGAATGGCAGAGCAGGCACGAGGGGCCGAATGGCCTTCTCCTGTCCCTTGTTTATATAAATTTTAGGTTCGATAAGAATGACCTGTCCACCTCTTCCAATTACTGGAGAAAACAATCGACCACATGGAAACTACCAAACCTCCTAGAGTGTGTGTAATGCTTGTGACAGCCAACTTAATGTTGGGTTTTTTGAAGCATAAAAGAATTGTTTTGATCGAAAGCCCATAGTGCTCCAAAGGCTTTAATTAGAGTCAGGCTGCGTGTCACTACAGATGCTGCAGTCTGCTGTTTCCCAGTTTTACAGGCTCCGCTCACAGATCATGATAGTATAAATACTTGGACATAGTCTCAGAGCCTGGGCGCAGTAATGTGTATAAAGGGTCCAATGTGTTGTATACACTGTCCTCTTGCCTTTTGCTTTTTTTCTTTATTCTTTCACAGAACGGGTATCATTGCCATTTAGTACTCATGAACTGAATGGCTTGACAGGGCCATTCCAGAGGGCAGTTAAGAGTCAGCCACTTTGCTGTGGGTCTGGAGTCACCTGTATCATAGAATCTCCACCCCAGGGCAGAAAGAGGCCATTCGGCCCATCAAATCCGCACCAACCCTCTGAAGAGCATCCCACCCAGGCCCACCCCTGTAACCTACCTAGTCTGCACATCCCTGAACACTGTGGGGCAAATTTAGCATGGCCAGTCCACCTAACCTGCACATCTTTGGACTGTGGGAGGAAACCGGAGCACCCGGAGGAAACCCACGCAGACACGGGGAGAACGTGTAAACCCCACACAGACAGTCGCCCAAGGGTGGAATTGAACCCAAGGCCCTGGTGCTGTGAGGCAGCAGTGCTAACCACTGAGGACCAGACAATGTAGGGATGGTAGACTTCCTTCCGAAAAGATCTTTAATGAACTAGCGGATTAATCGATGATGGTTTTCATGACTGGGACTAGTTTTGCAATGCTGCTTTTACTTCAATTAATATAAATCTCACCGGGTGCCCTGGGAACATGGCTATCAGTGACATGATGAGCACAATGTGATTTCGTGGCCAGTCTGCTATCTCCATGCCTCTCGTTTCAAATGAAACATTTCTCTGCTCCCAAACAGGTGACCCCAGCCATGGGCTTCGCCGCAGGGACCCTCATCATCCTACTGGTCCCTGAGCCAAAGAGAGGAGCTGCAGAGCAGCAGCTGGTGCAACTTCGAGCCAGTACCTCCTGGACCAAAGATATGAAGGCCGTGGTGAAAATGTAAGAGTAATGTGATGGTGTGCGATGGGGTGGCTGCTCAGTCATAAGCTCAGTAAGGGAATGCCAGGGGAGATGGGGATGCGGAATGGAGGGAGCGCCGCACTGTTGGGGATTCAGTGCTGAGGGAGCGCCGCACTGTCGGGGGGTCAGTGCTGAGGGAGCAACGCACTGTCAGAGGGTCAGTGCTGAGGGAGCGCCGCACTGTCGGAGGGTCAGTGCTGAGGGAGCGCCGCACTGTCGGAGGGTCAGTGCTGAGGGAGCGCCGCACTGTCGGAGGGTCAGTGCTGAGGGAGCGCCGCACTGTCGGGGTGTCAGTGCTGAGGGAGTGCTGCAATGCCAGAGGTGCTCCCTTTTAATTGAGACATAAAGTTGCAATGCTGTTTGCCCCCTCAGTTTGAAATAAATCTCCCTCTGTAATATCTCGAGGAATGTCGTGGGAGTTCTCCCAGATATCCTGACTGATGTTTGACCCTGCACCCACAACCCCCAAGCAGTGTGAATAGCCTTCAACTCTTACCTGTTTATGGGATCTTGCTTTGCATAAACTGACTCTTGTTTGCTGTACCTCACAGCAGTCAGCGCACTTCATTCATTGTGAAGCGTGCTGGGAGGCTGACACAGGCGCTATACAAACGCAGGTTCACCCCCGAGCGGGTTTTGAACACTGCAAACAGGAAACACGAGATTGGGGCCCACAGCCCATGGTCGAATGTCTAACGCCTTTTCCCGATCTGCCCCTCGCAGCCCAAGCTTTGTGTTCTCCACTCTGGCCTCAGCCTCTGTGTCCTTTGCCACTGGTGTGCTGGGCGTGTGGATCCCGCTGTACCTGTTTCGGGCAGAGGTTGTACAGAAGAACATTGAGCCGTGCACTGCGGAGCCATGCAGTGGCAGAGACAGGTAAGGCTCCCTGCGATCGGGGCACCGTCACTTCATCAGGTAGGGGCAGCGAAACCATCACAAGCTGCGGCTCTCTGATGTACCCCTCCCAGTTCTCAAACCACACCAACTGGAGCTTGGGTACTGCCCAGGGTGGGGGGGCACTCTGTGCTAGAGTGAGGACCATAGGCCCATGCTGAGTGACATCTGCCCTTGTTCCTGGTGCTCCCTGATAGCCATTCTCCATGTGAGATCCCAGACACTCCAAATAGTCAACAAAACTGAATTATCAGGAAAGGGTGAGACAACAAGGTGTAGAGCTGGATGAACACAACAGGTCAAGCAGCATCAGAGGAGCAGGAAGGCT